CCCCCCCCCCCCCCCCCCCCCCAAAAAAAAAAAAAGTCGCATCAAAAACGCACGGGTCCACCGTTGGACCGCCCAAAGCGGACCAAAAGGTTTCCTCCGTGGCCTGAAACAACAACGCTGCGAAAGGATCCGCCCCAGAATGCGATGCCCGAGGCCTTCGCTCGCCCCGTCCAATCACCGAAGAATACGTGAAGAACGGGGAAATTTCGACAATTTTTACGTGGGGGGACGGGGAATGGAATAGAGGTCTCTCGAAAAAGATCGTAAGGGACCACACGCCCTTTTTCCTTTTACTTTTGGACGCTTGCAACAGGAATGATATTGGTTCAGATGTGATTGCAGAGGCGATTTCGTCCGTGTTCCCCGCTGTCTAGCGGGCAGGTGGCTCGTCGGCTGTCTCACCCGCTTTCAAGGGGGAAAAGGGAAGAAGTAAAAAAAAAAAAAAGAAGCGATGAATGACTATGGAAGGATGCCTGAAAGAAAAGAAATCGGAATGGCGGAGGATCGGGGTTCTCATGAAAGCGTTTCCGAATGCTTGTTCGTCTTTGTAGTTCTTTTTTTTTTTTAAGAAAGAGGAAATTGAGAGGAAAATTATTATTCTTAAAATGAAAAAGAAACTACGGAGAGAATGGTTAGAAAATTTGTGATTGTGTAAATATGCACAGATTTTGGCTGCATTATGCCAACTTGGAAGGAAATTTTTAGTCCAAACCCAAAATATAATCCTTTTCGGTACGGATTTCCCGGCGAAGAATGAAAGAAAATGAAAGTTTTTTTTAGCTTTATTATTTATATACTTAATCTTTTTCCCGGTCGACTGTCGGTTTCGCACCGAAATTGAATAACGCGCTCAAAGCGAGTATTTCAATCGAATCGCGCCGACTGATCCGAGTCCATTAAAAAAAAAGACAATGGCAAAATGAGAGACTCATCAGAAAGAAAGAAGCACTTGGACTGATTCCTTCGACTTCATAATTCTTAAAAAAAAAAAAATGATCCGTCTGACTGAATGCTTCAGCTCAGCAAAACTCGAATGATGAATGTTCATCGCGCGAAGGAAGAAAAATTGCTGATTTTCCCCATCATTTGAACAAGATGAAAATTGCTTTTCGCAAGGTTTTCGAGCGAAAAGATCTTTTCCCTTTTGTTTTTTATTTATTTTTCGCTTTGGACACCGCCGGCACGAACGCGCCCTCGACACGCACGCGATCAAGATCCACGTCACGCCGGTTCTCCCCCGCGAAGTCGACGGACGACGAACGCGACGGCCGACCGTCGCCCTCCTGCCTCCGCTCCGACCTCCACGCCGGACAACGCGAGACCTCGACCTCCTTCGGTTCTTTCCTGTTTACCCCGTCCATCAGATTAGAGCGAGGCGGGAAAAGCCTTGAGATCCGTCTTCTAAGAAGTCGGCGTCGTCACGAGATTCCAAGAAGTACCGAACGCGTACTCTTATACAGGATAGCGCAAAAAAAAGCGTCCTGTTGGAGATTTGATAAAAACCGTTCTGTATTTTCTTGTATCTCATAGAAAACTCTAAAATGCGAGTTTGTGTCGTTATGGTAAACAGCAACAGTTGTTGGAACTTCAAGAAAATTCCGCTTTTCCACGTAAGGAGAGCCAGCCGTTGCAGCCAAATGTCATCTTATGGCTGCATTTTTATTTGAACGTTCTTGCCCGTGCAGTCTCATCATATCGTATCTCTCAAAGGAAAAAGTGACTGCACGTGTTTCACGACTGTCGCTATATTCCAGACGAAACTTGAAACCTTCAGGAAACGAATTTTATAATGTTTCCAATGTGATTTTAAAATTTTCCATTGTCGGTTTCATATGGCGTCAGACAATACGCGTTTTTTTTTGCGCCACCCGATATTTCCTCCTTCACGCAGCTTCCAGTCCCTCCTCATTTCTCCATCCCACCAGAAAGAGGGAGAGAGAGAGAGCGAGAGGGAGAGAGCAAGAAATCGGAATCAAAATTGGAGTCCTTCTCGCTACCGCACTGCTGATCGAAGGAGTGATAATATTTATATTACTTTCATTAAAAGAGGATTCAATTTTTAATTCTGGTTAGAGAAAGAAATCCATAGTGGAAGCATTGCTAGAGGACTGCATGGATTTTTTTTTTTTCATCTTCACCGTTAGGCGTAAATAAGACCCGAGGTGGGGATCCGATTCCCCGATGGGTAAGTTCCCCAAGGGCAGTTAAGATGATTTCTCGACCTGTAAATTCCCGAATGATGAATTCTCTGACGGTTGTACGACGTTACGACGTCACAGATACAATTCGATGGACGAATGCGAATAACAGAATTTCTACAAGGCTTTTACCCCATAAAAAAAAAAAACCTCCTGGCCTCTCAGATCATGCAGCTAGGAACAACACAGGCACACCAATGGGGGGCGGGGGGGAGGGGGGGAGGGGGGCAGGGGGGCGGGGGGTCAGTCGCCTCTCAGCTGGGTTGACGAGAGGGGTGGTCTAAATGAACGGAAGGAAAGGGAAAACTCGCTAATCCTCTAATCCTGGAGGGGAGGATACCGTTACGTTCTTTGCCCCCCGACTTCGAAAGCAGATCGAAAGTGAAAGAAATCGGAAGTGGTCGATTCCTTGGAAGGTTTGAGAATCTGGAATTCGTGTCGAGTGAAAAGGGAAAGAATCTCCTCGTTCTTGAGGGCCAAGTCCCCCCGAAGTAGGAAATGTGGAAAGACGGACGGAAAACGCAATTGGAGTTCCTCTACATAAGAGACAAAGTGAATTGCAATAACGGAGCTACTCGGGAGCAAGCGAGGGTAACGCCATAATGCCCGAGAACCTGGGGAAATGCAAGCACTAAATATGGTTGTGAACATTGTGAATGATGCCAAGAATACGCAACAGAGGACAGTTTTGTGCAATAACTGGTGCCGGAATTTCAGCAGAAGCCAGAAAGTGGAGGGGCGGGGAATTTGTTTTTGGACAAGATCTTGCGGTCGCGGATTCGTAACATCGGGGAACTGACCAATCGGGGAATTAGCCATCCAGGGAATAAACCGAGAACCTGCGGTGTGCCAACTCTTGCGTGTGTTCATATGTGGATCAGGTTTGGGATGTAAAGGGGTGCCAGATTGATGGTTTTCGAAAAGGTCTTGGTGACAAATAGGGGGCAAGTTGGCGATCGGCTATTATTTGTAATGCTTTGGCGATTTGGAAAGCGGATGACAGTTTTTAGACTTGTTTTTCAGCGAACTTAAAAAAAAAATTTATTTGAAGGTGGAGAATCTAAAATTGGGTCACCCCTACGATTCCTAGTGATGTATCCGGTCTCTTCTCTTTGCTTATCCCTTTTCTCCTCTAAACCTTCCTTTGAAAACTCCGCCCGTTAGTCTGCCTCTCTAGTTTCGGCTTTGGACCTCAAGAGGCATTTCTGGCCCTGATTGGACCTGTTCTTATGCGTGCGAACACCTCTGCAATTTGTTGAAAGGCAAGGGCCATTGGGATAGGCGTAGGCTAACGTAATAAATATCTCGTGGTCATCGACAAAAAATGACAAATTTTTCTGGTTAGATTATCTGGCAACCCTGTCTATTTGCTTCCACTCATGGTCTGTTGCTGCTGTTGGTGTGACCGGTGAAGTGGCGGTCTTCCATCCAGCCGAGTACAACCTGATAAATTCATCCAAGACCATCTATACATCAGACGAATGGGTTAGGAGCCTTGGCCATTACAGGCATGACCCTCGCGCTGGATATTCGGTTAAAGCGGGTCTCCAAAGTCTACCGTGAAGGGGTGAGATTTCACTTGACTTGTGCGTTGCGATATTTTAAACACAGGCTAAAACCAATTGGCCCAGTTTGTGTAAAGTATGTTTGGCTAGCGCAATGTAGGCACTTCCTAACCAGTGAACCAAACGTTGGAAAGCTGTTGCAAGATCAATATAAAGCCTTGGCAGTGAATCAGAATCGACGAATTGCAGTATCAGATGCACTTCAAGCTCAGGTCAGCCAAGTAGGCTGAAAGTTAATCTGAAGTAGTATATGGTTCATCTGAATTCACTGTAGAAACATAGGCCTATGCTTCAGTGACTGTACCCTGAAGAATTTTTGCAATGAGCAGTAGAACATAAAAGTTACCTAACAAAATTTTTTTTCCAGTTGTGGGTTTTCTGCTCCTGGAGAATTGTCACAAAATTAGTATTTGTTTAAAAAGAATTGGAAAATCCAGACATAGTCAGGGATCCTCTCATCCCTCATTCTCAAACCTTTCAACAATGCTTTTCATATGCAAGATTATCCCACTACTTTGTTAATTTGTGCACATTTAATTCATTTTTAGTTGGCAAAGGAGTTTTAATTTCCAAGAAAGAGAAGCATATATCTTGTCTGCTGGATATTGCAGAAACAGCAGTTCCATGATTTTTTATATTTAAAAATGACAAAAATGTTAATTTATGAGTATGTACCATATGCTAATATTGTTAATATTTTACATCATGAGTGCAGTAGCTTGTCCTCTTGAAGTAGCTACAGAATGGTTTTCTTATGTTTTTGAATAGGATTTAGTTACGGGACTCATTGTCATTCAATGCAAGAATGAAGTGAGACATGGAGGCATTTTTCTGGCACTTGATGGTGATGTAAATTTGCAGCTTAGTGCAAGGAGTGTTGGAATTTTTGAGGCCTTCTATAACTCGGTCAAGGTATGTGCCCTTATTATTCTCCTTGAGTATCAAGTACAAATCAGATGAGCACAACGAAAATCTGACATTAACCTTACTGTTCTGTTTCTCTTGTCTATCTTTTCTCGTGTGCTAGCCAATCTCTCTCATCAGCTATTCATTGGAGGTCTCCAAGCCAGGAAAACTTTCTGCTGGTGTGACAGAGATACCATTTGAGTTCCCTCTGAAGGTTTCTGCAAACAAGAAGCTCTATGAAACATACCATGGAGTCTTTGTCAATATCCAATATATGTTACGATGTGAAGTGAAGAAGGGAATGCTGGCCAAAGATACAGTCAAGACAGCTGAGTTCATTGTGGAGTATAAGGTGAGTGTTTAGTACATTGTAAATTGAAAAGTTAAGTAGATATGAGATTATGTAGACTGCTTAAATTGTTCCATTGCTGTGTTCTCAAGGTGCTTCATCTCTCAAAAGTACTGTTAGGACCATAAAAGAACTTAATTTCTGGTACTTAGTAAGTTACATGGGGCTTACTTATGAGCTAATGGAGGTTCATGGAATTGTCTTACTGTGTTCATGAGTCTTTTCCAATAAGATAGGATTCAGCTCATCAGTAGAGGCCCATAAGTTATATACCAAACCCAAAACCAAATACAACAAATTATGGAGCACAAAAGTTCATAGTCACTCCAACATACGAGTCTCTTCTTGGGAAAGGTATGCATATAATAAGAAATCAGATACTTTCTTCTTTATTCATCTGATATGCAGTAGCATGGATTTTATGATTTGATAACAAGCTCCCAAGGGGAAGATAATGAAGTTGTGTGGAAAATTGTGCAGATGCTTGGACTGTGGAAAATGTTCCCTGTCTATAAGCTCATGGACACAAAGCAAGTTCCTTCATTATGTTGGAATTCTTAAAGAGGGCATCCTGTTATCCATCTAGCCTCACCTATCTTCTGTCTTTATTTTTATGCCTCATTCATTGGAACCCATCTATTGGAAATGTGCTTCTTTACATCTTGATGCTGGTTGGATTTTTAGTTGAATAGTAGCATGCATGCACTGTCATCCTACCCTTAGCATCAGGAGATTGTCTCATCCAAATGGTTGAGGGTCTGCTCTTGATATTGATGTCTCTTTGTTCATTCCCTCAATAAAGGTTAAAAAATGAAAGTTTATCTTGGGTCTCCTGTGGAATTTATAGAAAATATCAAATGAAAATGCTCTCATGTTTCATTCATCTTATTAGTCCATCATGAAATGGAAGAATGCATGTTGCTCGATAGGTTTTTTCCCCCTGTCTTGGTCAAGAACTAATATTTTTTTTAAACTCAAGCAGCAACCCTGTCCACCCATACCTGTTTCACTGGCATTTTATGATTGAAGTCATACTGTTGCAGATTAACAATCTAACCTTTAATGTTGAACATAGGTGATTCCATGTCAAATCAACCAATTTTCCCTTGATTTCTTGGTTGACCATCAGCGATTTGACTGAAATTTGGTTCAAAGGTAGTGTTTGGCCCAAAAGTGGGAAATCCAAAGTAGATTTTTTCTGACCAAAGGTGTGTCCATGGCGGGTCACAAAATGTTGACCTATTTTAGCTGGTCAGACTGACCTCTATCAGACTTTCTTCTATAACTCCTTAGCTATTTGTCGTAGAATGTTCATTTAGGACTCCTTCTAAAGGTCTCTTTTAGCTCTATATTATGGATTTCATTTCAAGCTCATTATCATGTACAGTCATTTTATATTTAAAAAAATTGAAGGCCTTTGACCTTTAAATTTCACCAAATTTACAGAATAACATGAGAATAATATGGTAATGAAGCTCTTAAATTTTCAGGAGGATGTTTTGCCCCAGTTGTGAGATATATGCAAAATTGTGCTTTACATTTTCCATTTTTGGGTGCATTAATTTCAGAAAGCTCCATATCAAATTGATATGTTGCTCCGACAATATCGATTAGGCCAACCTGCATCATATTGTCTTAATTATGCATCAATGTAGTTCATACATTACCCTGTACATATTCTTTGGCATTTTATAGGAACATGCAGAAGCAGCAGTTAAGAAGCCAGTGGAATTCACCATAACTCCAGATTCACTCTCCAATGTGAAAGATAAATCTCGAATTCCTTCCTTCAAAGTGAGGGGAAAAATAGATTCCACATGCTGCTGCATCACCAAACCATTTACTGGGGAGGTAAGTCATTGCATTGTGTCTTCACATATAGAAGCCTTGAATTTTTTATCCACTCTTGAGGATCAATGAGTCTGTGATCTGTTCCTAACCTGATGTAGTTGGTGATAGAAGAATGTGATATGCCCATAAAATCTGTGGAGCTGCAGTTGGTTCGAGTTGAGACTTGTGGTTGTGCAGAGGGTTATGCGAAAGATGGTCAGTATTTGATACTGCAGACATATTTAACTCTCACTTGAATTTATGAACTCTATAAGTTATAGGGTGCAATATCCAGAGCAGTCTATTTTTTCTCTCTTTCTTCACAGCCACTGAGGTGCAGAACATTCAAATAGGAGAAGGAGATGTTATGAGAGGTCTTCCATTTCCTATCCACATGGTGTTTCCTAGACTCTTCACCTGTCCCACTCTTGTGACTGCCAACTTCAAAGTTGGTGAGTATCCTTGAACATTTGATTTGTCATGTAAAATTAAATATCTTTGGAGTGCATTCTTTTTCTCCTTTCTTATTTCACAGAATTTGAGGTGAACATTGTGGTGATCTTCAATGATGATCATCTCATTACTGAGAATTTTCCCATCAAACTGACTCGATTCTAATCCAGATGTGACCTGTGATACTGCATATTGTCATTTATATTATATTTCTTTTAATATCATACTGTATAGTATGAAGCTTGTTTTGATTGTGATATGCAATCTTTTGTTGTTAAAAGATGCTGGAATAAGTTCTTCATCTTCATCATTTTCTGTTCTGCACCATTTATCAGCCATAAGCACAAAATAGTCGTTAGCATAACAAGAGCCAGTCGATGGGATTCTTCCAGTTCTGCAATATTTCACTTATTGGTGAGTGAGCCTTCATTCTAACCTATGTTGTCCATAGGAAAGGCTAAGTTTTTATGCTAAAAAACTAGTTTCATGATCAGTAGTATTATTTATCAGTAGATTACTATGGAGTTGTAATTTCAAAGCAATAAAGCAAGGCAAATAATATGACTCTTCATGCTGGCACTTATTACAAAAATTAATGTTGCAGTATTCTCTACAAATTGAAAAAATTATTAGATCCCCATTTGAGGATCATGGGGTGTTATGGGGTAAAAGAGACTCATCTATACTCAGGCATTTCAGTAGTTAATATGTAAGTTGATGTTGGCTTTTGATGATTGAATTCCTTGTGACCACAACTATTTGATAGACTAGGTAGTATTGCTCTGCCTGTCAATGAAATTTTACGTCCAAGTCGGATGAAGGCTTGTTTTATAGTGCAGGCTTTGGTGGACGGTGATCTGCCTTATTAAATGTCCCGGTGATGAAAACTAGCCGAATCTGAAGTGGCTCGGTGAAGACACCTTGAGCCACTACTGACTATATGTCGAGGAGCGTCTGATGGGACTAAGCAATATTTGAGGAACTGAGTGCAAGAAGCACATATCCCAATTTAAGTCCATTTTATCTCCCAGGCCTTCACTGTTGTGTTTGTGTGTAAAATTGATTAGATGGTTTGGACTTGGATGCCTCATCAAGCAGGACATCCTCTGCATGGAAATCGAATAAGTAAAAACATCTGTTCCTGAATTTTCATAAAAATGAAAAATTATATGTAAGCATTCTGCCATGTTCAAAGTGAAAAGACAAACAAGACAAAGATAACTGGGACTCTTTTATTTTTTATACCTTTTCCTTTGACAAGATAGGAGCATATCTCAGGAAAGTTCCACACAATATAATAATAAGTTCCATGCTCTCACACAGAACTCAGTTGCAGTCTGAATGCAATTCTTTGTGTGACTCTTGACATATCCATGGATTTACGATAGATTGAAATAACCATAAAAGCTCCTGTCTCCTTTCTCTCAGTGATTGGCAGAAAGAAGAAAGAGAATATTGCTTGGGTTTCTGTTCACGCTTGCATCGATTTTCTCCCGTCTCAAACTCAGCAATCCTTTGTGCTTATAGTTCATTAAGCATTTTCTGGTCATGCTTGAGGCTTCTCTGTTATAAATGCTATAAATGCAATGTAAATATGGATGCAATCATATTACATATGTCAGATTGAGCCAGTGTTATTCCAACTTTCACTTCTACCTTGAATATGCCAATATTTTGCACTCAGTTCCTCATTGCTGTCAGAATCATGTTGCTAATATTATATAACTCCAATGCTGATGTTAGTTGATTATTATTTTAAAATAAGACATTTGTTGCAGTGGTACACTTGGGAATAGCATGGATGCTCAAAGATTCTTGTATGATCTGTATTTTATCCAGGGTTTGGATGCAGTTCTTCAAAATCATGCCACTGAAAAAAGGCCTGAATGGATTCCTCCCTTGGCCATGCAGAATGAGGGATGTCCTTTCCTTAAGCTTTTATGCACCCATTTGGTCCCCTGGGGACATGTGGTGCTGTCACAGTGATTGACTTGCATCACACTGGTGCTACTTTTGTCCAGATGTATTGAGGCAGATACAGAAATATATATATGCTTGGTGATCTTTGCTTTTTTGACATTGAAATGTTGCAGTACATGGAAACACATTTGGTGTAAAGTGGATAAACTGCAACTGGATCTTTAGGCAAGCTAATGTTAAGAAGCATTGCCTTTTGAAAAAAGAGGTAATTTAGCATGTCAGAAAATAATTGGGTCAATGAGTATAAAGTTGCAACATTCTCATAAATGATTGGATGTGATCGTGTTGTTGCGATGCTAATTACAAAGTATTTTCATGGGTCTACCTGGTGGCCTTCAAGGAACCAGACTGAATAGTTCTATTCATGCCTGCTGTGGGCCTGCGAAAGAAATTTTGGATTCTTTTTCAACATTGTGGCTTTTTTTTATGCATTTGTCAATGCTGTTAGCTGTCTTTGCTTTTACCTTGGTGCATTCCACAGCAACAACAAATGACCTTTAATGGTAATACAGAATGCCTTTTTTATGGGTAAAAAAAAGGACAATGTCAAGACCATGTTTGACCTTGTTGCAATTTTCTTCTTGCTTGCTCTGATGCCTTCAAATTGCTGTTGGGGAGTTTCTAATTCCTGTCGCTGTGCTTGTACAAAATCTTAGAGGTTTACTGAGAAAGTTTTCATTTCTGCCCTTCTCAGGCTTAGTTCATGATGCAAGCATATTAAATTTGTAAGAGCTAAGTATACATGGATGCAGTGGGATGCCCAAGGGGGGGTTATGACCCCCTTAACTCCACCCATGAGATACATTTTACAGGTTTGATTCTCACATAACTGGCAAGAAGCTTAACTGCTTTCACAGTCTCTGATAGTCTGGGTCAGTGTAATGCAGCATCTTTCTGTCAGATGTCTACTCTGTCTATGAGTTGCCATGGTTATGTTTCACCACAACCTTGACTGAACCTGCTAGCATATTCACATTACTGGAGACTGATTAGATGAGAGCAGAAATAATGAATTCATAGTTATCTATCATTGTAAAACTGAGGTGATGCAATTTATGAGGATTCTATGACACAAGCTAAATATTGCAAAATATTGGAGACCAATTCCTTAGGAGGGATATTTCAATCCTACAGGGGATGGTTTCACATTTTTAGATTGATTGTATATCCCAAAAACATTTCTTTATAATAATAATAATGAGTTTAAATTTGAAATTTGGTATACTGCAAGGTCTAGTTCTGCAAATGGATAAGTAGAAGCTTCATTGGTTAAGCCAAAATTATTGATAAAGGTGGTTTTCGGTAATATTAGCTGCCCCAATGTAGTTTTGTGTTGAGCGGGAAAATAGGCATCGATTTTGCTCTGAGAACGATTGAGAAATTCGCTTTAAAATTTCCTGTGATAAACCCACAGTGAGCGTTAACATTGAAAAGCAGCCCGCTCAGAGGAGGATTTTACGACATTTGTAGTTGTATCGGGCTTGCCTGCTGAGTGCCTCCCTGACGAGGTTAAATTCTCTCCTACCTCCAGCGTACTCAGCGCAAGACCTTATTTTGCTGGGTGACTTTGCTCGTTACTTCTATCAGCAGCCCTAGACCATCACTCATCCCGAAAACATAAGATAGGTACTTCGGATTTGGAATTTGTTTGTGTCTGTCCTCAGGTTTCTACCACATTCATTTTTGGCGCACAACTTGGCTTTCTCATCCGCACCCGATTCCCCTTTTGATCTCACTTAATCGCGGGAAAGGAGCAGTAAGGCCATCCTATCCTGACGCTCGGTCCGTCGGCGGACGTAGAAGGGCGGAAACAGAGGAACCGACCACAGGATGGCGCGGAAGCCATTATCGCGACAAAGGGAGCTTGTAGTAATGTAAAAACCAATTCTCAAAGGTTTTCCCTTTCTTCAATCCCAACCTCAACCTCACCTCAGTGATTCAGTGTTCTCCGCAACCCCGGGGAGATGAAGCTTCAAATTAGCTGGAGCGATTCTCTGTTGTGAGAGGAAGAAGCGCGCCAAATTTCGTTCACGTTGTTACACTTTGAGAGGAGTACGAAGAAGTTGAATTTTTCGGCCGGAAGGGGTTGAAGAAAGGTAATAGGCGCTACCGCGTCTACTGATGTGCATGCCCTATCTGAAGTCGATGCCACGAGAAAAGAGTAGGGAGTAGAGAAGAGTAAGTTAGATGAGGCAAAATTTCTCCACGTTGTTTACATTTGAACGCCGGGTACGTCGCGATGGTCAGGCTTTCGTTTCCGGCGGGTGATGAATTGCGTGTCCCCGTCACATCCAGGACGGGTACATCGAGGAGGTACCGCTGGGTCCTGTAGTATGCCTTGCGCCTGTAACCAAGCGACAGCACTCTCCTCATAATGAGTGCATAAAACTCGCGAGCAATCATGGCCTGTTCACAAGAACACGAACAACTTATGTTACCATGAATGGAATAGATATATTCAAGTAAAAAGGGGAAAACAATAATATGTACTTGCTCCACTGTCTGCACAGGAACAGGTGAAGCAAAACGCGAAAGACAGAATGTGCATGTTGTTTACGTTATATATCGCTTATTTAGCACCAATCAGGGACGAGGGTGTGGTGTGTGTCTTTCCAATGTCTTTCCAATTGGCAACGGGCTGTAGAGGCCCAATTGGTTGAAAGCGTGGGCACAGCTGTCCATGCAGCTATACAGTACAGCTACATTTTGCAGTGGGTCACATCTTAGATGTATATAGTACGGGGGGGTAGACGATTACCGATCTACCGGTAGACCGTAGACGATTACCGATCAGATAACGGATCCGGTGCATGTTACCCATTGTCAGTGAAAGCTCGATATGTCAAAATAAAGCGAATTGAGCAGATGATCATTAAAGAATACTAGCGTCCTCTGGACAGCCTTGTCTAAATGAAGCCAATTCAGTACTGAATTGAATGGTGTCACGTATGTCGAGTTCGCAGCATCTACAGGTACTGGTGACCCCTTTGGTCATCAGAATTATTGACAATTAATTATTGAATTATTGTAATATATCATTCGTCATCTGATAATATAGTGATGAATGGCGTAGACAGGTCAATGGCCGATGCAACAGCTTCGGACTTCTCAATGTATAGAAGACTTATATCCTGACTTGCTTCTTGCCGAGTCTCTCAAATGCATTCCCTTACGTATCTCCCTCCGTTGCCAGACTCGCGGAGGAAGCAGGCCGAGCCATACCCCTCAGGCAAGTTGAAGGTCACCCCGCCACCCCTACCTCGACTCCTTTTTCCATCCTCTTAATACCAGGTCCGTCGCCCTTACGTTCACACCTCGGCTTTCTATCGCTTGGTTTTGCATTTCCCGTGTTCTCTTTCATTGGTGGGTCATTCAACGGAGAAGATTTCAGAGTCTTCACTTCACTGTAAGTACTTAGCAGCCAGCTCTTCTGTTTAGACGTTGGACATACTCAATTAACACATGACGTCAATGTAACGTCGATACAACGTGATTTCAATCAAATGACATTGCACGTCACATGAACTTCACTTGCATGTACATGTTGCTTGGGTATCAGTCTCGGCGGTTTTGTCCTTGTTGGCTTCTCAACCAGGACACAATATTTCTGTTGGGAAAGGTACTTGCTCTTTTTGCCTTTATGGTGGAAGGCATATATCGAGCTTGAACTACTTAACTTTCATACTTTCAGCCATTTTTTAAAGTTAATCTTGGATTAAAATTTAAAGAACTTATTTTTTGTCCCGGTCCGTATAACTTCTACTCCTGTTATACTTGCAGCTCGGGAGAAAAGGAGCAACTAATTCTCTTTCGTCGCAGCGAGGGAGAACTTTGGGGAATTTCTTTCTCTGTTAAATCAGAAGCCGTGGCATTATCTTCGTCTCGACCAGGATTGTCGATGCCTAGGAGCCCAGCCTTGAAAGCTTCTACTCCTTCCCTGTAGCAGACTTCGCCTCGACGATGGACTCTTCTCAGAAACATTCTTCTTCGCAGCTGGGCTCCCTCGCACACAAGGTACTAAGGGAGGGTTCTTGGGTCTCACGTGAGGACAGAAATTAATCAAGCCAGCGCACAGTGGTACGAAAGTCGGAAATTCTTGGACAAAATTCATATTTTGAAAATGGAGGAAGAAAAATTATTTTGTCGCTAAAAGTTACGGATTGAAGTCCTTGTCCGGCATCGCTATTTCTAAAGGCATTCCTCTGGTCCTTTATTGGCCTTTACGTGGTGCAAAGGTCAAGGATTGGAACTTTTCTTAAAATATGGAAACTTGATGCGAAATTGTGACAAAAGTTTGTCATGTAATACGGCTGTTCTTGTCGCTGTTTTTTCATCAAGTGCGATCTGAAGGTGTACCTGAAGTGAGTCTTGCTTATTGTATGTACAGTTTTACTCCTGATGTATATGCATAACTCATGTTATTTATTAGATTCTGTGTAGTCGATTGATATACTACTATTCTAATGACAAGGTAAATTTATCGAGTGAATTTGAAATACTTCTCAAGATTTCTCAGGAAATTCCTTATAGGCCAATGAGCATCTATTAATGAAGAATAAAATCAGCCCCTAATCTGCGCCCAGCTGCGCCTAAAGTTAGGAACATTTTTTAAAGACCAATTCCAGTCAATTGATATTGCTGTCTGAAAACCTCTCGGTCTTTCTGCAAGACCTAGCCCAAAGAACCAAGGCAAGACTTCTTGAAGACTCGGGACTTTTCAACAATTCACACTGCCCTGATTCATGAAAAACTTGGCTTTGCTTGTTCAGTAGCGGACTTGAATGAGCTTGAGAAACAGGAATGACACTTGAGGCAGCAAGGTCGGCTTGGTTCATCCGCCTCATGATGTTGTAGAGGTCCCTTCGGGTTAAAGGCACTGGCTTTTTCTGAAGAAATTGCGAGATGAACAATATGAAAAAATTTCCTAACTTTAGGCGCAGCTGGGCGCAGGAGATTAGGGGCTGATTTTATTCTTCATTAATAGATGCTCATTGGCCTATAAGGAATTTCCTGAGAAATCTTGAGAAGTATTTCAAATTCACTAGATAAATTTACC